TAGAGTAAATCTAAACTCGACAAAAAAAAACATAAAACTCGACAACTAGCAACATTTCCATACATTGTCTATACGGCGTACTATACATACGACGTATACTAAGCTTCTTAAAATGCGATACTGTTATTGAGGCTTAGAGGTAACAATGAGCTTCAAAGTTATGATACATTCCGCTTTTGTGTGTTTCACATACTTGAAGAATCTAACATTTGAAGAAAATCCTATCATTCTTCAACGTAAAGCCTCCTCTAAGCTAAGGCAGCGGCCATCACAGTTGCAGTTTTGAGTATGTCAAAACCTTAGGCAAGATTTTAGTATGATGGTAGCCTTACAACGTTAGTCGGCATTGGAAAAAACCTACGAACCACACGTTATCCTGCTCTCGAGGCCAAGACAAGAAACGCAATTACGCCAACTTTGCCTGACAACATCTTTCGTATCATTATATCCTGCTATTTGTGCTTGCTGCCTAGAATATATGTTTTGGCTTGCTTGTAAATGAAACATGCGTTCCTGCAGGGGAGTTATTTCCAATTAAGAATCGTTATCGCTTATTACGTTCATTGTAGATGAAAAAAGTAATACAAGTTCAGACGCTGGAAGTTGAAATGTAAAAATTATTGCGCATTAACACTACATTTTCGATTGGCTAGTTCTACAGTCCGTGAACGAAAATGTGCCACACCTCTGAGTCAAAGAGATATTATCATTAAGCTCAATATAAGGCCTACTTAAAGGAGCTGATTTATTTCTGAAGGACTAAACGGGTGCACCTATTTGTGATGCCTCGCAACACAGTAATTCGTTTAGGAAACTCGTTTTTGCTCCTAAAAAAAATTGAAACTTGGCATTTCCAAGTTGAGTAGACAATCCGTATCATTTGATAGCTATTTCGCGACGATCGTTTAGCCAGTTGTATACTCGATATGGTCTAGCGATGCGCTGGTATGTCTGCAAGCTTTTCGAGTCGGTCACAAAACGTATCTTTGAACCTGTATCGAAACAATTGCCCTGTTTCGTTTACTAAGGTAGAAAGAGGTGCATCTTTACTCTGTTTCAGATCTCAATGTTTCCCATGAAGTTTTGCTTTTTTAGGAAATCTAAAGCTGGAAAAGGCCTGTGAGCAACAGTGTATTTGTATGCATCTGAATAACGTGACGTGGTAGCGGGTAGACTATTCTCATGTTCCATAGCGTGTCCTTCGATTGTGAACAGCAAGAAATCGCTTATTAGCCTAAATATCGGTATAGAACTTGCAAGTGTTAGGTCCTAAAACACGACAGAATTGTCGGTGAACCACGAGGGTTTCTGCGAGATAATAATAAGTAAAACGACAAATGCGTTTCCAATAAATCCCAACGAAGGGTTTAAGATCACTGAAGAAAAGCAGACATGTGGTAGAAATACCAACGGTCTCTGAGGGGTCGACCTTCAAACGTTCCGTAGGAAAACCCACCCAGTTTGCATTTCGTATTTTTTGATTGATACTAATTGTCACCTATACTTTCATTTTTTAAGAGTAAGATAAACCGATCGAATTGACTCATATATGGTTGGTATTTACGTATAGGAAATAAGTAACTTATTTGTATGTTTTTTGTTATATTGGCCAGTACTGTGTCGGATATAGCAGCTCCGTACCGTACACAGAATACATTTCCTCGTGTTCACATACGCTAAAAAATAGGTGCTTCAATTTAAAAAAATGTGTGATATTTCCTTCGAATTAATGTATATAACATATGGCTGACAAATGAGCCAAACTCCGAAACCTTATCACGCGAGGAATCTTTTTTACGAAGACTCCCTGTCATTACATATATCAACGAGGTGTATATATTTACCTACTTAAGTATACCTATTGACTTAAGCTACTTTGTGTGAATATTTAAAGGGATTTTATTAACAATTTAAGATAAATTATTTTGATTTAAATAGTTTACCCATGCTATTTGGTGAGTCTTTGCGAAATAAGTTGCACCACCTTTTTTTATCCAAGTTTATCTTCCATCAAGGAAATTTCCGTATTTTAGGTAAGTCGACGATGGGGTTCGAGTAATAGCGCAGCTCCTCCTCTAAAAGAACCATAAAAGCATCTTTGTACACTGACAGATAAGTGCCCAACTGGAGATAAACAGGTGCTTGCGATAAACTAAAACAATATTGGTGCCGTTTGTTAATAGACAGACTATACGAAAAGAGATATCTGAATGAAATTCAATGTAAGACCTATGGACAGCTTTGGCTTATAACTCCAGTTCAAGACATAAGCCGTCAATAACTGATTTTCGAAAATGCAATTTCTGGATCTGTGAATAATTTTTTTTATCGTAACCGTAAATGAACCACTGACCTTACCATATATAACGAAAACGGTTGATGTTTATTTTGAGTTGACAGGAGGAGCAGTAGATTAAAAATTCCAAAAATACAAAGGTCTAGTAAAGACATGAAAAATTCAAAGAGATGTTAACCGTTATAGAATACATAATCTACCCGGCGCGACAACCTCACTTTGAAAATTATCTCCAAGATAGCGTCATTCTGTTGTGATGGTCTATATTTGAAACCGGGCGTAGAGGTACTTTGTTTCATGCTGGAAAGTAGCCATCTGAAGCAATGTTTAACAACCACCTGGGTATCAGGCAAAAACCTAACACATTTAACCTTAATTACGAGAACAATTTCTAATACCGGTCCAAACACTCCGAAGCCATTGGAGACAACTTCTTAAGTTTTCCTTTTGCTAACAGTTAGGCGTTGCCTAAACTACAGTTTTGTAAACAAATCAAAAGTGCTTATTCATGTTCTTTTCTTTGGTAAATCGTGCGTTTTTGTTGAGTATTACATTGTAATCTTCCGTAATCTTTTTATTCGTTCGTAAAACATTTGACCTGTTTTTCTTGTTTTGGCTCTTTGTGCCGTCTGTGTTTATTCCTTAATTAAAATGCACCTCAACTCCGGGGCCTAGCCGGCCTGATTTGCTCGTTGCGTCATACACTCTCTTTTCACATCCCCTTTTTGCGACTCGCCAATTGTATAAGCAGGAAACCAATGCTTTACTTGGTGTTCCGGGAAGAATCGTCACGCACGAATCATTTCCGTTACAGTCTAGCGCTGGTGATATTTGCAGCTTTCTTAGTTAGCATTCTATTAGGTCATGAGACCGTCGAAGCCTATAACATAGGGCAAACTTTCAGCAGACCCTATACATAGCACGTACCCAGGTACGTGGTCGTTCTGTATCATTATGACCACGCTTTCTAGCTATGGCTATAAATAATGGCTAGCGTTATAAAGACAATAAACGTAATAATAGAGAAAAACATGACTGAGGCACGATCCTATGTGAGGTGACGTACACGTATACGTGTAGACGAAACGTCACAACTGGAGCAGGCTAGGGAAAAGCGATTGGTTTTAGGCGAATCACTTTGCATTAGTTCAAGCTAGTGTGTACGTCCTGGCCTTAGCCTATTTCTATCGCTGCTGATGCTTCAACTGTCTGTCCTTGTGAGGGTAGTGCAAGGCTCAGGAATGTCTGTTTTCCGAAAAACCCTGACCGGTTAGTAGCCTTTGCCGGCCGCTGCACTGACACACAGGGCAACCCAACTGACCTGTGTGCAGTATAGCCTTTATAACCCAAGTCAGATTGACGGACCTCTTGCTTAGTGATTTGGCTGCTTTTGTTGTTGATGCTGGTCTGGGATGTACATCCCCACAAAAACCCCGTTTTTCCTGGCAAAAACAGAGAATCTGCCAGCCATGACGTTTATGGTGAACGGACTTGCTCGTTTATTATAGTTCGTTCATCGGCGTTCTATGACAATAGCATACGCAACAGGAGGCCGCATCTGTAGCAGCTAATAACAACCGAAATTGTGTACAGGTCATCAAAAATAGTTGTATATATCATAGTATTAGTGTATACATGACGTATTAACTCCTGATTTTTTTTAACATTTCCTGTTTGCTGAAAAAGCCTGTAAATTTAGTAAGGTGGCGCTGAAGATATGCGTGTAAAGCTGCCTTCTTTCCTGTGGAAAATGTTGCTTGTTTTTTCTTTTAATTCACGTGCAAAACGTTTAATTCATCACAGACACTTCGAATAGTGAAGAATAAGCGAAGACGATAGAATTAGGTATCAGGATTAGTTAATTTCGAAGCGGTTCGAGTGTCCGAAACGGCTTTTCTAAGGAAGCCGCCTGTATCAGTAGCGGCGACCGTCACCAATGTTTCAACCGGTGTCAACCAACTCGATGCCAGATGAGATATAGATTTCTGTGCGCATTTGTAAGTCGGCTGCGTCCCAACATGCTATTGAAACTCGAAAATGCGTCTGTACACGTGTATTTCTTTGCGAGCCAGAGAGGTTTAGGAAGTCTCCTCATTTATATATTCCCTCTGAGCGAATCTCCTTGTTTAGATAGCTTCCGTTCAGTGATTTTGTTCATTTATATCCTCTTACATTTTTCGAAACAATCATACCCCCTACACTGGCAGTGGAAGGGGGGTTCGGCGTCTCATGTTGATACAAAGAAGCACATGCTAGCTAATAGTGCAACAATCGCCCCTCGACCGCTGAGCTCGACCCTATATAGCCTACGAAGTAAACAACTCTTGAGAAATCTACCAGCCGATATCAGGCCAAGTCTCTCATCGTTAACTAAAGTGTGTTTCTTGCCGTGCGCCACAATACAACATGTCTGAGGTAAAAAGCATCAAAAAAAAAATAGACGCCATACGACGCGTGCAAAGGCCTGGCGACACCTGTTACATTTGTACACTGGAACGGTTCGCATGCTGTTTCCAGCTGACCTGATTATTACAAACGCCTCATGCACGCTTCAGCCACATCGAATAGGGGACATCAAGTTAACAACTTTCTTACGTTACTCGGTGAGCCCTGCAGAGGCCAGCTAACGCCCCAGTACCGTTGCTACCTACTCCCTCTAGCTTCAATTACACATTGAGCTGCTGCGTCATGTTGACAGTCTTACATGTGCCGACGTTCTGTCAGCGTTCTTGAGCACTTCACATGTGCTACAGTATCCTCGGGTCCCTTTCGCCTCCGCTCGATCATCCGATTCACTATTACTAGTCACTATACACTATAAATCCTCGCTGCTGTATGGCAATCTTCGACGTGAACCTTTTCGGTTAGTACGCCGCCTGTCTGTTTGATCTGGTGACTGCTGCTTACATGGGCGTAATGGTACTGTTTCTCAGCTGCGGATCGGAACTTTTCCGTTAGCTACTTGGATCTCAAGTCTAATGAAGGTTGAAAGTAGGGAAGGATAGTTGTTTTGTTCAGGGGAGCCTGAGGGAGGCGTGGAGAGGGCAAGCCCCTGCTTTCCTCCTCGAAAACCGAAAACTACACCCCGGCTGGCTGGAATTGGGAGAGTACCAGGATTAGGACCTAGAGAGCGACAGCCAGTGGGAAAGGGATGGTAAAAATACGGTTACTACTGTCGTCAACGAAAGAAAGGTATAGATACTTAGAGATGACGATCTGGTCGTCGTAGCTGGGGCCTTGTAGAACGCCAAAGGTTGTGGGGTGGCACGACATTTAGTCGCTAGTCAGGCGTCGCGAACATTCTAGAGATGTCTGGCAGATTGATACGATGTATTATAAACGTTTCGATATAAGCCTGAAGGCAGGAAAAGAATAGAGAGGAAATTAAAAAAAAAAATAGTTGTTTAGTATAGACAAGAGATTGTGTGTAGTTGCTTGTACGCTTGAGAAATAAAAGAAGTGCTTCGGTTGGGTTGACGTCTTTCACAATCTCTGAATCTTGACAAGGACGCCATAGTTTTCTAGAGCTATTATATGAACACATATTGTACATTTAAATAATATATTGTGATGCGATCACCTTTTAAAACATGGCAGTAAACAAGAATGTAACAAGAGTTGTTACCGCCGCAACATCCATATAAGCCACACGCTAGACCTCCAGTCACAAAGTGTTATTTATGTTGTTGACACATGTTTACAAAATTCAGGGCTTGTGACTAACTCGAAGGTTTAATGCCACACGCTTTAGAAAGAAGGCTTTTGCTATATTAAGGCCGCTCATAGAAAGGCGTGTCCTTCTGTGTACAGCTCAGCCCATGCGTGGCCGGGTACCGCAATATTTCTTGGCTTTGAGAATGTTAAGAAAAGAAAAGACTTTTATTGATATTGTCTGGGACCTAGGCAACAATCCCCGTTAAACAACTGAACTGGCAAAAAGGAGGAAAGCTTTTGAATTCTAGGCACGACGAATGGACAGCACGGGCCATAGACCTTCTGAACACGGGACGTCCATCCCCTGCGCAACTATATGGGCAAAGCTAAGCAGTTAACTCGCCTACGAGAAAGGACCTGCTGGCCTGCTATCCAAGCACCACTATGTAAATCGATGCATATTAATACTGACTTCATTAGAGAATCGGCTATATGCCAATCCTATTTTCAACCTTCCCTTTGCTTAAGTTGCTCATTTGTCGCCATCCTCACATGGTGCTACCTATTGCGCCCTTAAAAACGGCATTAATTTTTGGCATAATTTTGACAAAGATTACGTAAACGCAGCGGGTAGCTTCGGGAAATGCTAGGTAACGTCTGTCCATAGTCCGTCGCTGTCTCTTCCCTGGCCAAGCAGTTCCTAAAAACGATGTTAGAAATATATAAGCTCGAAACAGGTTAGGTTGTCTTTAGCGGCTAACGCCGGCACCTGTATCGTTGCCAGGGTCGTGACGGGGAAACGGACAGAGGCAGACCAGCTACGAACCAGCCAAAGGAGAGGAAAATATGCATGTCTGCGTTGTCTTTGCATCCTTCTCGTTCTATCCCTCGCTGTCCCTTGGTTTCTAGCGTAATCTCTCTAGTGTGCCCCACATCGCGCAAGTGACTCAGTATTCAGTACGGAGGCTCAAGTTTATTCCAGCGGCTCGTATTCGCCGTTATCCCAGACTGTGTCTCGGGGGAAAGAGCGGCGAAAGGCCACAGCAGATGTTAATAGGTAGCTGAGCGAAGCATGACAAGAGGCAAATGCAGAGGAGAAAAAGTTCTGAAATCAGGAAGAACGAGAAAAGCGTAGGCAAACTTTTTCACTATATATCATATTATATCCAGGACACAATTGCTGGACACAACGATGTACATTATACAGCCACTGAACGGAAGTAGCAGTTTCATGATATAAGTTAGACTGTGACATAAGTACTGGCAAGGATTACGCTAGTGGCTAAACGCGCACTGATGTACGGAGAGAGAAGGGAAATAAACGTCCAAAAGTATGCGTGCCCATCTGTCTAAAATTGCGCAAACTAATAGGAACAATACAAATTACATACAGGAACCGAGGTCTATGTGTTGAGTAACCTCCTATGCAGGTGAAGAGAGTTTAAAGCATTTTTAAAATTTTCGCATTTATGTTTAAATATTTAAACATTTTGCATAATAGAGCATAAAAGCAGATACGGGTCGTTTATGTTGTATCATATATATATGTACGCGTATGGAACTGTGTAGATACGGTTTCAATACAATACCGATACAAAGTAACGTTGATTAGAGCGATTTCCGGAAGATGAGATACCGAGCGAAGAATTAACTGTGAAGAGCGTCTGGTATAAGTAGAACAAAATCAATATTGGATATTTCTCTATTGATTTTTCCGTTTCGACCTCTAATGATATGCCGGCGTCATTGAACTGTGCAAGTGCCCCTATGTGAGAACATCTGATGCGAACCAAAAGCGGACGGTGGATGTCCTGTTTGTGAGACAAGATATTCAAAGTTGCTAAGTTTCATATATCTTCAGATTGTCGGCCTTCGGATTCGTTGTCGGGCCCTTAAACGGATGTAGACAAAAATAAATAAAGGGTAATCTATGTCAAAAGCTTTGGCTAGAAAGTTGCAAGAAAGAGTTCAGAAACTCACCAAATGAAATATTTGGCTCAGAAAGGGACCAATAGCCCAAATTATATTTTTTACAACGTTGTGAGGTTGATGAAGAATCGATATTGACGTATCCATAGTTGTACCTCGTTTTAGAGTCGCATTTAGAGTTTCGCCGAAACCTAGGCAACCTAGGTATCGGCTACGCCCTAGGGAACCTAGTAACTAGATAATACATAGTCAGGTCAAGTTAAAAAGCAATTGCTAATACAATGTATGTTCAAAGCTAAGAGATCACATATCTGCCATTTCGTGTTCATTCAAAACAAGCTTTATGTAGATTTCCTAGTGCTCCTTTTCTCTTTAGGAAAATGTAAATGCCTTATGAGCAGCAGTGAATACCCACTCGTGGTGACGATTTTCCTTATAATATATATAGTAATATACAACAAAGGTAAAAAAAAAGCGTTATTATGTAATACAATTTCTGTGAAACCAGCGTATCGCATGCGCACCATCATGTATTACCTTCAAGTGAGCTCTCGTAGAAGCAGAATAGTCTTGATGATACGTTCTATAGCGATTTAATTAAATTACAATTCATCGACGCGACGATCGCCATGTTGCAGTAATGACAGGATCCATCAGGCACGAGCTAACGCTCAAGAAAAAGTTTTTCCTGACCTTCTGCTTTCCAACGACGGAGAACTGCACGCAGTACGACGTGAAGTTTGTTTGAATCTGGCGTAGTTAGAAAGTGGTAACACTAGAAACGTGTACGTTCTTTTTACTGCAATGTTATTGTTCTTCCGCAAAGTTCATCTTTGGTCGGGCCGCGAATTCGTCGCTAAATACATTCATTTGCCTGCGGTCTTCTAATTTTTCTTGCCGGTTTTCGTTGTCTCTTTGTTGTTGACATCTTCACATCTAGACCCATAGTTTGAAGAACTTGTTTGGCCCTATCCGAGAATTATTCTGGATTGATCGTCTAGCAAGAACTGGAAATAATTTTTACGAAATCTCTCAGTGTCCTATATAGGACATAATTTCCTCGATTATGAGTAATCTAGTATTATTGAATTATTAACTGCCAACACGTTAACCACATATGGATCCTTGAATCAGATTCTATATTTCGTTTCCGAAGGCACATATACAACCGAATACACAATACGAACAAAATCATTGTATTTATAAGATTTATCAATAGGGCTTATTCAGTAGAAATAATTAAAACGTTTTCTAGATGGACCCTTTACAGCGGGAATGATTTTCTATCGATGAAAGAAACATTTGGATGGACGGGTACTACTTTGTATCTGTCATTTCTTATGCGGGGCTTTATAAACCCCGGTAGTTTTTCTATAAGCCACTAACAAGCTAGACTTTTTACTTTGAGGAAAAGGGAAAATTAATTTTTCTGGGAAGCGATACTCTATAGACAGCGTTTAATAGCGCGCCACTTACGTCGCCGAAAATAGTCTATTGCAAGCTCTTGAAAGCTTAAGGCTAAACCCACAACAGCCCCAAATTTCCTGTATTTTCTGGGTCCGGGTTTGAGCCTATCTCAGTAGAACTCCAAACCTAGCCCTAATCTTGGATTCTGTCAGCTTGTACGCTGACTTTCACTTCCTTTAAATATTTGTTCACCTTCTCATGATCTCTGATTTACATAATGATAGCTTTCAGCATCTGATACGTGCTTTTGTGAAATTTCGCGAGTTGGAATCATCTGGAACGCTATTTCGCTCATCGTTGGTGGGTCTGGTTATGGAGTCGTCTTTTAAGCCCATGGGGTAATACATATAACGTCCTCGTTAGTAAACCAATGTCAGCTAGCAGGGATATTACTTTTAACGTCAGTTTCATTTGAGAAATTTAAGACTATTTTTGGTCAACCTCAATGGTGCAGAAGCTTTGCAACTAACTAGATGAACATCTTCACGGTTAGGTTTTTCTCATAAATTGTCCAGAACCACATTCACTACGCGTTGCTATGGCACCACGTTATATTGCGGTTGAATTCATCCTTCAGTTGAGCTTTTAACTTAAACATTAGCTGAAACCAACAATACGATCAATTTTACAATGGCATTTGGGTGTTAAAATCTATGGTGACATAAAGCATAGTCTAAATTATTATATGTTAGTAAATACTCATTTCGAGCTAGAATTGTATATAACATTATAATGCTATTATTACCGCTATAACGATTTGTTAGATTAAGTCGACTAAAACGGCTTTCTACTTGGACGAGATGGTGAAGAAGTGAAGGTTTTACGAAGTACATTCTACCACATCATTTACATTTGCGTAAAGACCTGATTCTTTAAAAAAGAAACGTG